TACAACATAGTGGCATCCACTGCTTATCATCCTCAGACCGATGGCCAGACTGAATGACTCAACCAAGAACTCGAGACATACCTTCGAATCTACTGCTGGAATCACCCAGAAGATTGGGTTGAACACCTTCCAATGGCAGAATTTGTACACAATCACCGAAAACATGATTCCCGCAATGCGTCACCTTTCTTCTTAATGATGGGCTATGAACCATGAGCCCTCCCTCATACTCTCCCCAACTCTACCATTCCCACAGCAGAAGATAGACTCCTCTCCCTCCAGAAGTCCAGGGAAGAGGCCCTCTCATGCCACAATCTTGCTATGCAACGAATGGCTGAATGAACTCAGGGACAGAAGTACCACCTGTGGAAAGTAGGAGATAAGGTTTGGTTATCTGGGAAGAATCTAATCACTCAGCTACCATTGTGGAAACTTGCGCCCAAACAATATGGCCCTTTCCCGATTACCGCCGTTCTCTCCCCTATCATGTTCACGCTCCAGCTACCTCCACAGTGGAAAGTTCACCCCACGTTCCATGCTTCTGAGCTATCATCCTATCGTGAAACAGAGGTTCACAGGCCGAACTTCCACGACCCACCTCCTGACATCATTGATAATGAAGAAGAATATGAAATTGATGTGATCTTATCGCACAAAGGGACGGGTAAACAAAGATGCTACCTTGTATCCTGGAAAGGATATTCATCCACCAGCAATGAGTGGGTTCCAGAAGAAAATCTCACTAATGCTTCCGACATCCTCACCGCCTATAAGAAAGCCCATGGGCTATAGGTTTTCTAACAATGTCCCACATTGAACAACTACGCCTCTGTATCCTCCGCATCGAAGAACTTACCGCTGCTATGAACACTGTCGCTGAAGGAAACGCTCACCCATTGACACTCCTCAATTATCAAAACGCTACCACCGCCAACCTTGCCCAGCATGCATCATCCCCTGTAACCTCACCACCAGCTTCCAACTCCACCCTAACCCTCACTGACGACTCCGTCCTCACTGACTACTTCTCGGTCATTGACCAGGTAGAAACTAGCGCTCTGTTTGAATCCACTATCACCTCCCAGCAGTACACCATTGAAATAGACCATCTCCTTGGAGAATGGGGGGTGATATCTAGCGGCCTTATTATCAGGATTATTAGAGATGCCAGTCTTATTGACCGTACCGCCGCTCTCCTTGATGATGAGCGCCATCAAACCATTTTCTGCCATCTTCACATACGCATTCGCAACACTGCGATCCATCTCCTACCTGAAGAAACTAGGGATGCTATTAGAGAAGCCATTCATATCGTCACCGAGCGCATTGCCCTCGACCCTGTCGCGCGACCACCATCCCCTCACATCATCATTCCTGTACCACCGCCAGCTCCTACTACAACTACCATGGAGCATCAGGATGATAATATCCCTCCTATTGCTGTACTCGACGTACCAACTTCTCCTTCTCCTGACCCCATCACACGCACTACACAATGACTCCCACTTAAATGAAGATCCTCCTGCCTCGCTGCTAAGCGAGCTGCCTCCATCTCCCCCGCTAAAGCGCCACTCAAACGATCGAGATCACCTTCTCCCCCAAATCAGTCCTCTTCCATCACAGTCGTAAAAACGTCGCTGGTTGACAACGTCGTATGCCGCAATTGCCACGTCGCCAGGCATCATCATAAAAACTGCCCCACATATTACTGCAGAGTTTGAAAGGAATATGCACCTGGCCATTTATCGGTCTTTTGTAGAAAGTTGAAGGGAGAAGCGGTTATTCCTTTGGTATGGACTGACGTTGGTTTCTACGATGCTCTCACTCGATGGGAGATTGAGCAAGATGCTATCGCCCATGCTGCCGAAATGGCGCAAAGCACCATCACCGAGGAGCAGGACGACTTGCTCTATTCCAACTACAACGCAGACCCCATCTACTGGGCTAATCAGGATAATTGAAGTCGGTGACTTCATCCCTAAATGAGGGGTAATGTTACAATCGTGGTTACCTCCTATCTCTTTTTCCTCATACTTGTGTATTACATCATGACCGCACCTTGCTGTGCCATCATTAGACTAACCGCCTTCCATATCTGTATTACATCATGACCGCCATGTGCTGTCGCTAGATGACTCATTCCCTTATCTCTGACTCACTTCCTTATCTCTGACTCAACTGATGACGCATACATACCTGCCCTAAAGGACTTATGTCTATATAAACCCGGTCATGTACTTAGATAGACTTCACTTTAATCTACTAGGTCTTACCTGAACTATCCTTCGCTTAGGACCCCCAATCCTAAGTCGTCCGATAACCAATATTCAAGTCAGAGACACTCTCTCCGACTTGTCTTAAGAACCTTACATTTGTAAGGACACGATCTGGCTTCAGGCATGCTCTTATTGAGTACCTGTTGTCGTGCCCATCCTAGTTCGCCATAACACACAATGAAAGTCTTCAGTTATCTGTACAAGTATCTATACAAAGGACCTGACACTGCCCATTTCACCATCAAAGAAGACATTGATGCCAATGAGCCTGTTCCCTTGAATGAAGTTCATGATTATCAGAAAGGAAGATATTTATCGGCACCAAAAGCAGCCTGGCGAATCCTCAATTTTGAGGTCACCTGAAAGGAACCTTCAGTTACAAACCTACCAGTTCACCTTCCCAGCTCAAACATTCCTCAGTTTTGTCAGCAAGGAGGAGAAAGATCATCCACCTCCCTTTTAAATCACTACTTTCTACAAGCCAATGAACTCACTGGACTTTGCTATGAAGAATATTTTGAACAATTTGTACTTTATCTGTACTCTATGGAAGATGAACTTATGCCTAATGATTATCCTGAGAGATGAAAAGGAGGTGTCACTTGACAGAAGGCTTCAAAACAAGTTCATCTGGAGAAGGTAGCTGTTAAGGTCATACTCAAGGGCTAACTGGATCTGAAGGGCTTCAGCCTCAGCTCATGCACTGTGCCCCTTACTCAAGTATTGCCCCTTATTTCAAGAAGGCAAGACTAATGCATCCGGAGGGTCAGATGGGTAGCATAGCAGATCCAGATGACTTCTGGATGTGGGATAAGTATCATAAGGCTAATCTGGACAAGTCCAGACTAGAAACTAGCAGTAGTGGCTGTCATAGAAGGAGGTGGATGCAGATAGACTATAGGAATCAATCCTAAGTCTTGGAGGGTGACGAGAGTAGAGATACTCAGGTCTGGAGGACAGGAATGAGCAGAACTAAGTTGATATTCGAACTGAAGTGTTACAGAGATTTACAGGAGGTTATATACTATAGGTATCTAATGGAATGATCAATCAGCAGAGGTCCAAGGCTATGTACAAAGCATATGGATATTCTATTGGTAAGTAGAAACAGATCACAAATAATGAAACAGAAATGAAGCATAGGTAACAGATCAGTGAGCAGGATAGATATACCAATAACCAAATTACCAGAGTTAGGGGACTACCAAAAGGAGATGAGCACTGGTTGTGGATTTGGATGAATTGTGGACTGGACTGGACAAGTGGACAGAATGGATGATGAGATGTTGGAGGGAGATAAGATGTGGATAGGATCAGAGATAAGATATGGATTGGATCTGAGATCCGGATATGTGGATATGACAGTAGCTCAAATCCAAACTGTACCAATCCAGTCTGGAGAGCTTTTCTATCTGTGGGCTCTACTTCTCCATTGACCTGCAGTATCATTCATTGACCTTCAAACAATTCAAGGGCACACTTTTGATACTTTCCATGAAGCAGCATCTGACTTTGATTTGTTTGACAACCAAAATGAAGGATATCTTGCACTACGCGAGGCCATTGAATCTCACTGCACCCCTGCTCAACTACAATTTCCATTCTTGCAGATCGTAATTGAAGGCTATCCAGCAATGCCATTGTGGATGGAATTTCAAAAGATGCTATCCATGGACCACATTCAGCGACTTGGCAATGAAGCCAATGGTTATGAATTCTGCTTGCAAATTATTGATGATCTACTATCTCATTCAGGAAAACACCTCGCTGACTTTGGCCTTCCATCCCCTCCCAGACATTCTGTCAAAGTCTACAATGAACAATGTTATCTACACAATAACCAAGCAGAATTTGAAGGCATCAGTGAAGACTGTTCCAGAAATTGACAGAATCTTGCACTCATAGCAGCCACGACAGATTTCAATGATACTATTGACTTCCTCTTCCCCCCACATGTGCTTCAAGATGCGGAGACATGTCTTCAGCACACATTCCTCTCCCCTCTCAATATCTATGTTGATGAATTCAATGACAAGATTCTGGAAAATTTGCCAAGTGATTTTTGTGAGTAATCCACAGTGATATCATGCATGCTTAGCACTGACAAGACATAGGATCTTATTTCAGTTCAGACAGCCTCAAGGAAGCCAACCACACACCTTTAAATGCATCTGAACAGACTCCTGACTATCTCACAATGTTGACCCATTCTGGAGTACCTCCTCATCACTTAGACCTCAAAGAAAACAGCATTTGTGCCATTCAATGAAACCTCTTGGTAGAAAAGGGATTGGTCAGAAATGCGTGTGTGCATGTGATTGCACTACATTGTTGGTTTGTCAAAGTCCAACTTCTCAACACATTGGAAAGCCACTGCATTCCCCACATTAACTTTTCATTCCATCCAAACTGTTCAAGCTGGACAGTGAATCAAAGATGATTTCCTCTTTGACTCACATACATCAGCAAAATCCTAAGTTAAGGTCCCCCCTTTTACAGTGCTGTATGGTGCTGTGTGGCACTGTGTGGTATCATGTAGTGCTGTAAAAGGGGGGACCTTAACTTAGGGATTTGCTGATGTATACAACTATGTTTAATGGTTGTCAAGGACTGATGCTAGCATGAACTGTGCTCAACTTGCAAACAGATCCCTTTGCTCATGGACAACTATATACTGCATTATCAAGAGTGAGAACATGCAGAGACAATAACATGGGTGATCAATTGAATGGAGAGCAACAAAACACTCTCAACTGCATTTTAGAGAGCATAGTCCAGAACAGAAACAACTTCTTCTTCATTGAAGGATGTCCAGGTCAAGGGAAAACATTTTTGGTGAAAGCACTTTGCACAATATTATGCACCCAAGAACAAATTGTTCTTATTGTTGGAAGCAATGTGTTATGTGCCACTGCATACAATCATGGACACACAGCACACCACATGTTTGGCATCCCAGTAATGGATGATAATGCCAATTTGCACAGTTCCATTCACCCTCACTCTCGTGCAGATCTCATCTGAAACACAACAGCAATCATCTGGGATGAACTCCCTGCTATGAACAGAGCTGGGTGGGAAAGTGTTGATGAACTTTGCCATACAATCTGCAATCGTCTGACAATACCTTTCAGAGGAATCACTTTCATATGTTTAGGAGATTGTCAACAAGCAGGACCCATCATCAGAGGAGCAGGAGAAACTGCCACTCTTGCAGCATCAGTCAAGTCATCAACGCTATGGAATAGCATTTGAATCTTGACTCTCAACACTGCAGTTCAGACCATGGGTGATCCACAGTTCACAGCTTTTGTGGCAAGTGAGAGACAAGACTGTGCTAATGTGGTATTTCCTAACTTATTACTGTAATCAGGATGTATCACTACTGTGCATGCCTGCCTGATCATACAAAAGCCGACCAAAGGGGAGTCCTTGTACATAAATAAGTACAAAATCTGGAATAAGAAAAACAAAATCTCCCGCTCCCTGCATACTACCAGCCCCCATTGGAAATCAATCATACCAAGCATCTCCTGCGCTACACACTACTGCTAGTTGACACATGAATGTGCTCCTGAAAAGCAATTGAAGCCATAGCGGTTGCTGTATCAGAGTTGGCCACAAGCTCAGCATGATATTCTCGAACACCGAGGATCAGGTGTGGTCCCAGCACAAACAACTCTACAAATTGGAACATCACAGCAAGACTGAGGTAAATCTCAATGTCCAAAGAATATATGTCCTACAGAAATGATGAACCATGGTCGCATGTAGAGGGCAGTGACAGATCAGCATACTGCTGAGAGCATTGGAGAGAGTAAACCGATCTTGAAGCAAGAGACAGCCAAAAAACTAGAACATGCAAAATGTCAGCAGAACAAGAGAACCACATTCGCATTATGAGTGCACCTTGCAAAGTAACTAACATGAGTTTGCATTAACACCATGAAACAGTCACTGATAATCCCTCTTGTTGAGTGTTGTCGCAGTTCATGGAAGTGCTTTACAGCAATCCAGACCACAAGACACAGTGCAAGGACCTCCCATACAGTCCCAAGTATCCACGTCATGGAAGTAAGAAATACAGAATCTCCTCCATAGTCAAACATGCACTGATGGGTACCAGAGAGAATGATTTCCTCTGATATTTCTCAAATGAGCCTGATGCACTTAAATGTTTCATACATAATTAAAGCTTACCCACTGACACCTGCATCATCATTATTATGCCCATCGCTGCATTGGCGATACTGATGGCCACAAGGATGATGACAAGACATATCAGCACATTTCTGGATTGCTGATACATGGCATGTAACCAAGTGATCATGATGACTTGCATGGTCTGTCAGTCAAGTCAATGTCACAGAGGTGTATAGCTCACTGCCCAGTGTTACATGTACAACATCACCCATCCAATCATATGCGTTGTACACAATAAGGCCTGACAAATCCAGCAACATCAGCTATCTGCTGCAAAGGATCACAGGCCCAAAACAAACTCACAACTGTGGGGGTTGTTACAGTTGGGGACAAGCAAAGTCATCACATTTGCACATTGATTTTTGCTGGCTTGTCACACAAACTAAAAAAGGCTAAAAATGATATACATGCACTCTTTAGACTCTATACTTCATATTGGCACGAGCCAATTCCCTGTAAAAGTAATTATGACCCTCTGAGCCCTAAAATTTTGGCCGGACCCCTCAAAAAATAGCTAAAAATCCGAAAAAATGCGGAATCAATTCCATCTGCTGACTTGAGTATGATTCCATGAAAAATGAAAAGATAATGTACCTTAGTTAGGGTGCTAAAAAGTGCCTTTTTGTCCACTTGAACAATGGTCCTCACCAATCATTATGCCTTGCAGATGCCCCAGAAAGAAACCTAGAAACATCAGCGGCCTTTGAGGACAACACTGCACCATCCCTCTTGTCTCTGAAGTGTTATCAACGACCTCCAAAGATGAATATCATAAGCCCTGTGCCCAAAGTGTAGACCACCAAAGCAACTTCAAGTTAGATGGAGCTGACAATGGCATGGCAGTATTTGATGGTCTAAAATTTAACTTCAGGCTAGAATATGAAGACCAGCACGAGGACGAGTCAGATATTGATGATGAGCTTGAGTGGGAGGTCCTACATGATGAGGAATTTGGCTGAAAACTGGTTGCAATGTCCTGCAACCATGAGGAGGAGGATTCTGATTGGATTCCTGAGCGGCTGCAAAGGAAAATGAAAAAATGTGCAGGAAAGCACAAGTGTAAGCATATGTGTGTAAAATAAGCAGCTGTGAGACTTACCATTGAATGTTAGCATGATCAACATATAAAAGAGGCCCTGATGCCATGAACAAGTCAGAGTGGACTCGTCAACGTCACAAAGAGGCATGGAGAGGGTAAACCACACTGGATTCCTACATCTTCAAGAAAGATCAGCCCACACTCAGTTTATCTGAGTCAGCAGCACCACTAATGCATGTGCCACTGGCCAATGCAGCACTGGTTGCCCAACTGGGCAGTGAAGACACCACTGGTATCACTGGCAGCAGTAGCGAGTCAGTGATGGAAGATTCAAGTGCAGCACTAGACACAGATGTTGATCTAAGTGCTGCTGAAGCCGAAGAAGAGTTGATGGATAACGAGGAGCTTGAAGACTGGGAGGAAGAGCTTGACATAGCAATCAAGGGATGCAATGAGATTCATGACTGGCAAACATTACGCAATCAGATCAACGATGATTTGAAGAAACATCAAGCATCCTTACCATTGACAAGCATCAATCAACTTGTGATCCTTCGAAATTTTGCCACACTCCAGTCAAAAGGACTCTCGCAAACTGGTGCCAGCAAGGAGATTGCACGGCAATGGTGCATGGGAAGTGGTGCCTGGTTTGCCTGTCATGTTCGTGCCCTTGCACACCATTATCAAATATTTGAACAACTTCTGCACAAGAAGCGTGGCGGAAGTGCTAATGCTCAGTCATTTCTTCATGATGAGTCGGTCCAAGCTTGATGTTGAACATGGTTGGCAATGGCACCTGTTGGCAAAGTAACTCCATGTGCCCTACGGTGTGCACTCCAAACAACAATTTTTCCTAACCTGGGCATTGTGCCGAAACATCCAGTTAGTGAGCAAACTGCCCGTCGCTGGCTTGTTAAACTTGGCTGGCGTCACACTGTGATCCGACAGGGTGTTTACATGGATGGACATGAACATGATGATGTTGTGAAGTATTGCAATGAAGTATACTTGCCTGCAATGCAAAAGTTTGAGCGGCGGATGGTTCACTTTGAAGGGCCAGAACTCACTCACATTGAACCAACACTCAATGTGGGTGAACACCGTATCAAGGCATACTATCATGATGAGTCGTGTTTCCATGCAAATGACAATGTGACTAGTGCATGGTATGTGTAACTCCCTTGAAGTCTAGAATATATTTGAGCTAATAGTGATATAGGCTCCAAATGGGGAAGCAGTTGTTGCGTAAAAAAGGTCATGGTCGGCTGATCCATGTTTCCAATTTCATCAATGAAGAAGATGGCTGACTTGTTTTGCGAAATTCAGATGGGGAAATCACAAAAGATGCATGATGAATCATCTATCCTGGAGCCAAAGGCGATCCATGGTGGAGTCATGAAAACTTGCTTGAGCAAGTCAGGTTTGCAATCCAGGTTCACGAAGAGGCAAATGGGCCTGACTGTCAGGCTCTCTTTATTTTTGATAATTCATCTGCTCATGCATCACTCCCACCAGATGCATTGCATGCATTTGACATGAATCGGTCAGATGGTGGGAAACAACGCAGACAACATGACACAGTAATCCCAGATTCCAATCCTGATGAGACCAAACGTGGTCTCACACAGAAGATGATGACTTCCACTGGTGAGCCCAAAGGCCTGAAATCTGTATTGGAGGAACGTGGATTTGATGTGCAGGGACTACGGGCTAAATGTTCACCTGTCTGCCCTATCGAGAGCACTGGCTGCTGCATGGCAAGGCTGCTGAGTCAGCAGGAAGATTTCCGTGATCAAACATTGATGGTTGAACAACTTATCAAGGATGCAGGACATGAATGTCTCTTCTTGCTGAAGTTCCATTGTGAACTTAACCCCATTGAAATGGTATGATTTTGTAAATTTAAAATTTAAGTTTTCTTCACTCACTGCTTGTTAGTATTGGGGGTGGTGCAAGTACCGCTACTGACAGATGGAAAAGTCAACATTTGCTGCTGCAAAGAAGGCCACACATGATGTGCTTGATTCATGCCCTGTTGATGTCATTCATCGATTCATCAATCGTTCCTACCGGTTTATGAGTGCTTACAGGCTAGGGCTTACTGGAAAAGCTGCTGAATGGGCTGTATGCAAGCAGAAACAACATCGACAAGTATCTCAACGAGCAATGATGGCAATAGAGGCAGTGCTAAATGTATGACTTAATACATAGATGTCATGTCCCCCCCTAAGGAGGGTGTGTAATTTTTATTCAAATGGTCAAAAAAATTGGCCAGCCAAAAATATCATGGGAAAGACTTTGGAGCAGTGTTTTTAGATGTATTTTTACTGCCTGAGTTCAGAGCTGGTGCTAGTTTGGCACCAAAAAATCATGTGGAGCCAGTACTAAATAGGATGACTTTGCTTGTCCCCAACTGTATGTTGAACCAATGAGTTGTTCAATAATCTCACTCACCCCTGCATGGTAGTTCAGGTGTTTTGGCGGGAATTGAAAGCACTAGGGCAGAACACTCACTGCATCTGTCATCAGAATTGCTGGTACAGTGACTGCATGCCGCCCGTCACAAAAAAGAAACAGAGTATATGTGAGAACATTTACTTAACATCATTATCCTGATTGTAAGAGATGGGTAATGAGCACAACATCAATGGTTTCAACATCCAAACGTACACAGCACATGCTATTCCAGCATAGCACACCTAGGATATTTGAAGTCAACACTAAGCGTAAATATTAAAACACAGGGCACATACACTGAGATAGAGAAAGGTCATCAGGGACCAGTGTTGCCTCTGGTGTGAACAAATTATATCTTTATCTCATTCTTTTGATGTGGGAGTCCACTCACCCAGATCAGTTCAACCTATAACACAATTTTAAATGAGTTGGCTGTCTCAGTAATGGATTAATGTACAGTGGCTCAAAAAACTGTCCACATGTTTTGACATTTTTCACTATCTATGATATTGTGTGAGAATGAACAAATGCCTCAAGGACATGGTTATACCACATTGTAGTATGGCTTCAGGGCTTTCATTTGAGCCCTACACCGTGGGAATCTGTGGAGATATGGTGGAGATACAAGGCTTACAAAATCATGACTCATGCAGACAGTTTTTTGAGCACATATTAAAACTATATAAATCATCATTTATGACACCATAACAATCATGCCACCATTAAATAAATTATAAAGTGGTGTCATTATGTCATTTTAAAACCATATCTAACTATACAAACCAAAAATTTCCATATGTCATGGTTATATTCACCATGAAAGCCACCCCCCCTGCTCAAAGGGATAATATCCTCTCTCTTTCCTATTCTGGCCTCTCTGCTTGTCAAATTTCCTCTAGAACTGGAGTATCCAAGTCCACTGTGGCCAAGTTCATCAAAGAAAGTCACACAGACAAGGAAAACTTCTGTGAAGGGCATCCATCCAAGCTCACCTCTACTGATAGGAGGGCTATTATTCAACATATCACTACAGGAAAGGCTGATAATGCTGTCCAGGTTACCTATTATGTCAATTCCACCATCACATTCCCTGTCTCTTCACACACTGTAAGAAACATTCTCAAGACAGCTCATCTTAGGTCAGTAACAAGGAAGAAAAGGCTCTCCTCTCTATCACACATAAACAGAGATGACTAACCTTTGCCTTAGCCCATCAGAATTGGATTACATGGACTGGAAGCATGTTATATGATCATATAAGACCACAATAAATAGGATTGGGTCAGACAGCAAGGTATATATGTGAAAAAAGAAGGGTGCTAGTCCTCTCTGCATATGTGTGATAGAGAGGAGAGCCTTTTCTTCCTTGTTACTGACCTAAGATGAGCTGTCTTGAGAATGTTTCTTACAGTGTGTGAAGAGACAGGGAATGTGATGGTGGAATTGACATAATAGGTAACCTGGACAGCATTATCAGCCTTTCCTGTAGTGATATGTTGAATAATAGCCCTCCTATCAGTAGAGGTGAGCTTGGATGGATGCCCTTCACAGAAGTTTTCCTTGTCTGTGTGACTTTCTTTGATGAACTTGGCCACAGTGGACTTGGATACTCCAGTTCTAGAGGAAATTTGACAAGCAGAGAGGCCAGAATAGGAAAGAGAGAGGATATTATCCCTTTGAGCAGGGGGGGTGGCTTTCATGGTGAATATAACCATGACATATGGAAATTTTTGGTTTGTATAGTTAGATATGGTTTTAAAATGACATAATGACACCACTTTATAATTTATTTAATGGTGGCATGATTGTTATGGTGTCATAAATGATGATTTATATAGTTTTAATATGTGCTCAAAAAACTGTCTGCATGAGTCATGATTTTGTAAGCCTTGTATCTCCACCATATCTCCACAGATTCCCACGGTGTAGGGCTCAAATGAAAGCCCTGAAGCCATACTACAATGTGGTATAACCATGTCCTTGAGGCATTTGTTCATTCTCACACAATATCATAGATAGTGAAAAATGTCAAAACATGTGGACAGTTTTTTGAGCCACTGTATTTTGACACTGTTCTATCTACCATGTCTTGCTGATATTCCAGCTGTCTGTCCTTTTCTGTCAATGGTCAGGCAGCCTATGTCCTATTTTCTTTCCAAACACCTTGCATACTGGACACCACAGTGAGTTGCCCACCACACAACATCTGTCATCTGATTGAATCATGCCTGCTGTATTATAATCCTCTCTAATACCCTCAATAACATACTTCTGTCTTTGCTACCTCTGAGAGTCTCTGTCTCTGGTTGCACACTTCTCTAAGTATGCATTGTGAAGGGTGTTTGACTTGTCACTCAAGGTTTCCTGCTGATGTCGGTTTATTCCATTCATTTTTGGTTCTCTTTGATGGTGTTTTTGTGTGTGTCTGAGTCTGCATCTATGACATTTCCATGACATTTCAATGAGCACGGTTTGAAAGTCTCATTGCAAAGTCTTTTCCCACCTCCTTTTGCTCACATGCGATAATTTAGCCACCACTGCCATGTGCCATGTGTCCAGTGTACACGACAACCCCCCATGGTTTCATTATTGGGATGAATGCTACGAAATTAACTTGCCTGTGTCTGTACTAACTACTTCAGCTCATAAGCTTGTGTCCAGATGATCATGGAGAGGATTGATTGAATCCCCATCATGACAACTCTTGCCAAATATCCATTTTTTCAAACAGCATCTAATTTTTGTTATTTCCCACTGTTCTTGCAGGTTGTAACTTTTCCTGCCTGCAAGAATTCATTGTAGGATTCTAGCAGGCCACCATGACTGTCCCTGTTGGTACAGTTCCTTTGGGCATATCATCCAAAGTGTGTATCACTCCTCAGATGAGTGCAAAGTGTGAGGTGGCAGCTAACAGCAAGGTACTACTTGTCTGAGTCAAAAAAGCCCCACTATCACACATATCCAAGCCTACTGGTGCATTTTTCTTCATCTAGCAGCAACAGCAGCATCATTTCATGGCCACACAGGAATCCAAACATGCTCTGTCAAAGCTTATGAGCAACACTCTTAGAAGAATCCTGCAACCAAGGTGTGAAGAACTTTTGTTTTGTGGCTCTGTAGCATTCTTATTGGTTCTTGTTCCCAGCCCACTGTGATCAGCTTCCCAACAATCAAAAGCTCGTTTGTTGACCATACTACAAAAATATTATGAGGCTTCGATCATCCTGAATTTCCCACTTTTGGGGTAGTGCTTGAGGACCTTAATGCTTTAGAAAGTGGCTTCCTCTGAATATGTGAATTCATTGTAAGCAGAACCAAATCTTGCTTATTACATATTTTAGTGTTCCATCCAAGGCTCTGGTCTTGCATATGGTGCCCACATGTCCATAAATAGAGAAGCTGGCTTGCTCAAGATACATATAACTCTCTATGATGGATTCCCTTGGCCATTTTCAAGTCACTGGTCAAGAACTGCTTGTTCTAGTAGTATTACCAGACTCTTTGTTAATCAGTGCAAAAGACACATTGGAAAACCTTATATTGTGGTGACAATATTATGTAAATTACATGGCTATCCCTTGCCAAGTAATTCAACACCTAGATGACAAAAAATGCGGATTCCAGATGCAAATTGCTTATCATTCACTTTCAGGCTGCAATGGTGCAATGTCATAATATCATCACAACCTGCAATGTGAATGTATATTTGATAACCAGTGCTAGTGCAACTTTTCACGATAAAGGCATGAACAGCTCTGCACTTTGAAAAATTAAATTATGACAAATAGGCATGTTTTACAACTCAGTCACAATTATGTTACAATCCCTTGCTGGCCATCATGTTGCAATGCCACAATCTTTTCAGTGACTCCTCATTGCAGTCTAGATTTGTATACATCCATGGCTATATACCGATCACTCTGATTTCTCGCAGTATACATAGCTATGTTTAGCAGGAGCAGAATTACATCCTTCTATACTCCCACAACTACAATGTCATGGATGAGGGAAAAGGTGAATGCTCAACAACCTGGATGCAATTACTCCACCATCCCCTACCGGTTGTCATGATGCGATGTCACAATGCAGGCATAGGCTCCAATGCCAATATAGAATTGGTGACCAGTGGTAGTGCCGCTTTCCATCAAAAAGTTATGAAAGGCTTTGTAATTCAAAACATGATTAACAACAAATGATGATGCTTAACAATGGGGACACAATTATGCTACAAAGTCTTGCTGGTTGTGATTTTGCAGTGTCATGATCTTGTCATGAATTCGTCAATGTAGTCTACATTTGCAGGCATTCATGCCTATGCATCAACAACTCAAATTTCTCCGAGTATATATGAGCATATTTAGCAGGAGCAAAATTATATCACTCTATAGCTCTCATGGCTACAATATCATGGACTCATGAGTTCACTGATGAAAGTACTCGGGAGACTCTTAAGGATTTTGATATCCGAATCAGCGCACCTGATCTGGGTTCTGAGATGCGATAGAACAATAAACGGAGTACAACACTCCGAGCAATCAATAACCAAAAGATGGACAACAATGATAAACAAGAGGCTACAAACCGACAGAATCACCGCTAAGGTAATCGTACGCAAAGAGAATTACAAAAATCTAGTCACATCCACCTGGTCTGACGTAATCACAACGAACACAAACCACAACAAAAACTGGGCCATCGCCCTTGAGGTTTTAGTGGGTATCATACCACCCAGGCCCTCTACGAACGAGGCCCCCAGGTAGTCATAGAGTCCCACACACCCACCACATGGTAGGAGTGTGTAAGTGCATTTTCCCTCGGAACGGTGTTCTCAGAACACCGCTATAGCGCGTACTTGTAGAGCTAGACTTAGTCAGTTGCTACAAATACACATCGCTTGTCCAAAAAAGAAAGAAAGTACTCGGGACCTGCTCCGTAAGCACAACCGTCTGTGCCTGCGCATTTCTCGCTATTTGCTCTTGTCATCCCAATTCGAATGTGGTCGATGGTACTGCAGCACCGGATCCGCTTGGGCTCAATGAGGTAGCCTGATCAACGAGCCAAAGTCCTATTGGCAGCTAGAGGTACTCAGTGCGTAACTCTGGAGCAACTAAGATGAACAGGGGTGCTGAAAGGGTGCACAGGGGCTACTTGAGTGGTTCACTACTTCTTCGAGGTCCTCGAAACAGCCATCTTTCGGCGATGGCATCAGGAACGAACAGACTTCCACTATCCGCTACGATCTTGACAGTACTGCTGAGATCAAATGCATGAACTTCATAATCAGGGAGAGATTTCTACTAGTAACAATCTCCCAAAAGCTCTTGTATGACTTATGTCTACTTCGCAACTTACATAAATAAATAGTACGACAAAACCTGGAATAAATAAAAAAAGGATTCTTTTGCTCCCTGCATACTACCCACTCATTGCAAACCAATCATATCGAGCTACACGCTACTGCTAGTTGTCACATGAGTGCGCTCCTGAAAAGCAATTGAAGTCATAGCGGTTGCTGTGTCAGAGTTGGCCACGAGCTCAGCGTGATATTCTCGAACACCGAGGATCAGGCGTGGTCCCAGCACAAACAACTCTACAAATTGGGGCACCGTACCGAGACCGGCATAAATCTGAGCATCCAGGGAATATATGTCCTATAGAAATGATGAACCATGGTCCCATGTAGAGGGCAGCGAGAGATCGGCATACCACTGAGAGCGTCGGAGAGAATGCACCGATCTGCAAGCAAGAGACAGCCAAAAAACTAGAACGTGCAAAACGTCAGCGGAACAAGAGAACCACATTCGCATTATGAGCGCACCTTGCAAAGTAACCAACGTGAGTTTGCATTAACACCGTGAAACAGTCACCGATAATCCCTCTTGTTGAGTGTTGTCGCAGTTCACGGAAGTGCTTTACAGCAATCCAGACCGCTAGACACAGTGCAAGGACCTCCCATACAGTCCCAAGTATCCACATCATGGAAGCAAGAAATATGGAATCTCCTCCGTAGTCAAGCATGCACTGATAGGTACCGGAGAGAACGAATTCCTCTGGTATTTTTCAATGAGCCTGATGCACTTAAATATTTCATACATAATTAAAGCTTACCCCCTGAGATCTCCACCGTCACTATTGCGCCCATCACTATATTGGCGATTCTGATGGCCAGAAAGATGACAACAAGAAATATCAGCACCTTTCTGGATCGCTGATACATGGCATGCAACCGAGCGATCATGATCACTTGCATGATGTTTCAGTCAAGTAAATATCACGGAAGTGTATAGCTCACCGCCCAGCATTACATTTAAAACGTCATCCATCCAATCAAGTGCATCGATGATGATAAGACCTGACAAATCCAGCAACATCAGTTATCAGTTTCGGAAGCTCACAGGCTCGAAACAAACTCACAACTGTAGGAGTCGTTATGTTGAATCAACGAGTTGTTCCAGAATCTTACTCACCCCTGCATGGTAGTTCAGTGTTTGGATGGGAATTGAAGGCATCATGCGGAATACGCACTGCATCTGTTTGTGAAATTGTTGGAAGACCGACTGTATGTCGCACATCACAAGACAGAAACAGAATCTATGCGAGGATGCGTACCCAGTATGTACATCCTGATTGTGAGAGATGGGTGATGAGCGCAACATCAATGGCTTAAACATCCAAACGCACACAAGATATCCAATTCCAGCATAGCGCACCTAGGATATATAGAAGTCAGCAGGACTTGGACTTGCTAAGAGTAAATATTAAAATACAAGGCACATACACTAAGATAGAGAAAGGTCATCAGGGACCAGCGTTGCCTCTGCCATGAACAAGTTATATTTTCACATAGTTCTTTTGATGTGGGAGCTCACTCGCCCAGATGAGTTCAATCTATGACACGATTCTAAACGAGTTGGCTGCTCCAGTAATGGATCAACGTACCTCTTGTCCAAACGTAAGCGCTGAGAATACCATAAGGATGTCAGTGGTCTTTCATACTTAGTATGGCTCACCCCAATCGTACATCACCGCGACAGAGGCGGCAACTGTGGAGTTAGAGTCAAGGCGAATTGTATCACCACCGCCATCATGTGGCTGGCTCTGAACGAACCTGTGAAATAGCTGAAAATAAGATTCCCATTGATCAATGGCCACCAACTGGGACCATTCGAGACTAGAGTCATACTATTAGAGGATGAGAGTGAGCGAGCGGGGGAACTTGGTGGGCGATAACGATTGCATTCATGCTTAATATACCATAATCCAGCATTTACATCTCCAAACCGAGATTTGAGGAATGATATTATATTGATCGAAGTAAGTGTTTCAGCCTAAATTCCAGTAGAAAGACAATGCACATCCAGGGATACCGATGGGATCAAGGCAAAATGTGTTGATGATATCCCAAGGCAATGACTCGTGTGGAATATCTGACCGTCGCAAAAGATCGAAGAACTGTTTGTGATTTCGGCAACCTGCCAGTGCGATCTTCGAAGTATTCTTTTGGTATTCTTGTTAAAATCCAGTGAGGGGTTCAGCCTCGGCCCATCAATGACAGCATATAGAGCATTGATCCAACACAGCCCAAGTCGATATCGTGGCAGACACGAGCAGAATCCTTTATTCTGATTCTTATACACACCGATTAGTACAAATGCGATTAAAAGTACATACATGCGTCGCATCCAGTTCCCTGTCATAACACGCGATCGACGTGTGCAGCGACGAGGGTAGTTGTACAAAGAAAGTATGAGGTTGTACAAGGAGGGGGAGAGGGAGGTGATTGTACAAAAAAGCGGGGTATTGTTGTACAAAGAAAGAACGATCAAATGATGTGGACAGGAACGAGAGCAGTAAGAACGAAAGCAGTGACAAAGGGGCGGTGACGGTACACGCTTTGAATGCAAAGTTAATGAATGTGCGATGTTTGGTGGCTTACCCAAATCGAGGGACTGTGGTGTATCCAACCGCAGCTCCCAGCAGATGACGTATGCCGCCAGCTCAGAAAATCGGAGTCTAGTCTATATGGCGACGTGAGCCTAGGTCCTTATCGAAAGCACTCACTAATTAAATTAATGCCAGTGCCACAAGTTCGTTCCACCGGCGTAACATAGATGCCAAAAAAAGGAACTCCCACGCTATGACATCATAAACTTTTGGCTCAGATGACGTTAGGGGCACACAGTATTTCAGATTTATGAGCGTGTTTCACTCAAATCCATCCCCTCCATATTCAATGAGCTATCTTACTGCAGCACGCTGCTCTGTAAAGAGAGTTTCCGGAACTTTCAGAGTTTCGTCGCGATACGCAAGTGCGAGGTGCGCCCATAAAACAGACACCTTCGAGTCTAGAAGCTGACGGTATGATAACCGAAGACGGTACACTAGGTATTGGTTATAAATTCAAAATCGCATACTACTGTGCTCATCATGGCTTTATTCTCAAAGTACGATGCATGACAATGATCCGGAGGTACGTCCGCTCCAATCGTTTGCCCCAGAAACAGGACGAAATTTCTTTATCACAGACGTTGGAGCGAGAGAAACGAAGAAACTTGTCCAGAATCCAGCATGAAACTTCAACCCCAATCGATGACGCACCAGGGTGGAACGAAGATCTGGCATCTGCATCTGAAGCACACGTAAAGGTGCTCAATACAATGTCGAAACATTGAAGAAAATGACATTGACATTATTTTGTAGGCTGACCGCTCTTCCGTCACGATTAACGATCTTCAGCGCAAGACGATTGATTATATTAATGCGAAGCACCAACCGGACGAGCAAATGGATCACAGAGAGGCATCTTACCTGAAAGACGAAGTAACTGGTCCCCTCGGTGCTGCCAGAGTGGGTGAGTTTGAGGGCGTTGTTGGTGCTGGTGATCTTGGAACAGATCAGGAAGGCGCCGACATGGAGCCCGACGGGCGCACTATTAAGCGGCACGTCGTCTATGAGGAGATAACAGAAGTCACGAGGGAGCCCTGTCCAACGGAGAGCGAGGCTGATGTGAGTGTTTTGAGCGTGGATCCTGCATCTTTGTCGTTGACATGCGATTAGGTAAAGGCAGACCGCGGGGAATATTCTTGAATCATGCCTGTTGTTGCGCGATTAATGTCGCTCTTATTCTATTGATACTCAACTTCTCAGTCATATTCCATGTACTCAATCACTCCGAAGTTTATATCACATCGTCACGTTTGCATTCAGAAAGATTATTTCGACTGTGCTATACTGTAATGTACAAGTAGTGATACATAGGTCAACATATGTCCGTGTCACATACTGTATGAGAGGGAGTCTAAGATACTCATGCCTTAGGGTTGGTATCTTCACCGATAGTTTCTCCAGGGATCACAACCGGTGGAGCGCCAAACTCCCCATCCCCTGGGAACGTCTCTTGCTGAGGATTTGTCTCCAAAGGGTCCAAGCGCACTGGTCCGGGACCAAAGTGTCCACCAAACGGCCCTGGCGGCAGCTTTCTAGGGCCAGGGCCCAACGTGAAATTCTCAGTGGTAGTGACGCCGGGTGAGCTTGCATTGATGGAAGCGACAGGAATGCTGACATGCACGGCTTGATCGGTGGCAATCTGGTTCACCGTCACTATGCGACGGGGGTCAAAATATCCCCGAATGCGGGGGTTAGGCTGGGGTCGAGGCTCTGTCGCCTGAATACTGCGTAACGTAAGATGATCAGATCGCTGAGTAATCACAATGATAAATCTTACATCGCATTGAATGAGGAAGTCACTTTGCTTTCCGCAGGAGCTCCCAAGACAAGGAACTTTGAGTCAACGAGGGAAGTGTAAAATAGACCGACGAGCCCAGACTGTGAATTTCTTCAATGACATTGCAGAGCATAAAATAAAATAAAATGCTTACGATTTGTCCCTTGTCGCCGGGGACTTCTAGTTGACCTTGAACACTGACGCTCGCACCTTGCTCTTCAACAGCAGCGCTACTCTGACTGAGCAACTGTGCCTGATACTGCTCCCTTGAAACTTGCTTTCCATTGTAAATGACATTAACATTATGCGCGAAAAGCGCATCAAACGCCGTAGTGAAATCTGCTTGGGTCTTGGCCGTCAGAATAGCCATGAGACGCGAAGAAGTGAAGGCGGTCAAAGTGGGGAGAACGAGTGCCATGATGGTGGAAATGATGTTGTTGTTAATGAGGCATTAACCACTGTAGCCACCCCCTCTTATGTACCCCAGAGAGAGCGCCCAAGTACGAATGCTGCGCAAATGCTGCATTCCGCTGTTAGGGTGACTTTGCACAGATCGAAGCATCACGGGGACCTGGATATGCCGATAGAAGGTGTCATGATCAGTCGTTTCGGTAACTCAACTTTATGCAGACTTGCATTTCAGATGACGTGTGAGAGCCCCGGATGGGTTGCGATGCAGGTGAGGAATGATCGATATCAATATTCGGGCTGTCAATATGGTATGTCGGCGTTGGTTAGGAGGCCTGTGCTTAATCATTCCGTGGATATCGTGTTCTTGTGTGTTTCAAATAAACACGTTCGAGTCTGATATATATGGACTGTGGTCTATCGCAGCATAACGAGCAAAACGATTATAGTTAGTGATGAGCATCGACGTGATTATTACTTACACAGCATACCCATTGAACGAATCACGCGCATCATTCGGGCCCGACTCGGCGGCCTTGTTGGAAACATCGATTGGGCTTGGATGCGCGCTACTGGGCGGTGTGGCAATGCTGGTCAGAGCCATATGGTTTCAAACTCAGATAGGTATTTGCCGAGCTATCAAAGGATGCAATAGGCGTAGTACTTCCAGGCACCTCCAAGGCTCTGCTGTCCAACTTTGACAAAATATTGGGCGCTGTTCACATACAGTCATCAGTCCTTCTGTTTGCTGCCTATCTGGAGACTAGCTTACACCCTAAACATCACACGAGTCTGTTTAAGGACTCTACATCACCACCCCAGTTCTAATTTCTGCCAATCGGCAGATCCTATCTCCATCTCTAGATTTCCGTTTAAACTTTGGTCGAATAAATCATCGCAATAAGTATGAATTCTTTCGGAGAGCTACTGGATGCCATACTTTGGCGTATTTGAACTCCCGAACTCGGCTGTGCCTCCTTAGAAATCAGAATCGCCCACAAGTTTGGTCATCAAGTAACTGGGAAGGGCTGTTTGCTCCAGTGAAATCAAGTCAGTCGAAAACTAATCATCACTTGTCTCAAAGCCGTGGCGTCTTTGTACCAGTCTGGTAGTCTTCCTGGAGAAGGAGGGAAGTGCTGCGCTATACTTATTATTTCTATGACATTAATCACGACCCTATATGCCCACACGATTTTCTGAGTTATCCACGTTATCCACCTGTGAATTTTGGCCTCCAAAACAATCATGGGTTATCCACCGGGTTATCCACGTGGGTAACTGGGTGGATATCTACATTGGTGGATAACCTGGTGGATTTCCACGGAACACTAGCCAGGCTGCTGAATTCTGAAGAGATGCGTCCGCTCGATTTCAGCGCGTGTTGATGGGAACGCGTCGTCGGAGTCGAACTATAGGTCCACAACTGGTGTAGGGGGTAGAAATATTTTGGGACGAGTTCTGCCAAAAGAGCAGATAATTGCCACGCCAATCCATATCAGGTTGGTCGATGGTCCACTACATTTGAGCTACATTGGTCGACCGGATATAAGGCCAGCAAAGTAGTCGTCTTTCTTGTCCTCTTAGTTTTCTCCATCTCACCAGTTCTGCTGACAACATTCCGCCAGCGTGATCATTGAACGCCTAGCATCGTGTCCCCTGTCTGCGAGACAGGCACATCGTCTACTCCGCCACGCGCCAATGCACCAGCTCATGATGCTAGCACAACAGAATCTACCCCAAACAGCCATGGAACTCCCGTCATCAACGAGAACATCGGCCCGGCCAGTGCGCACCTTTCCTGTTTTTATTGAGTAGCACCTAACATTCCATCAAGGGCTACCCCATGGATTCAGCGGGACGTCGAGCAGGTCGAGCACTGCAAGACAGATACCATGCCGCAAACCCTCTTGCAGCGCGCTTCTCGCGCTCCAGAGACTAAACAGCCTGAACACCTGCAAGTTGAGGAGATCGCTAAGGTGCACGATACAGTAAGGGATCATATTCCTGAGTTCCACTGGCATCACACGTTTACGAACCCCACGTTCGCCATCCGAGAAGCGTTCGGGGTTCCAGAACCCACCACAGGTACTCACGTGCTCTACATTCTCGTATTCTGCAAGCTCCACCCCACCACGAAGCTTCACGGCAAAGAGCTTTTCGACGCCTGGCGTGATTGTATCCTATGCACGTATTTGATTAAATTTATGTGACTCTTCGTTGATCTAGCGTGCAGGCCACCTTACTCTGTGGAAGGAAGGTGTCTATCATCGAGATATCAGCCCTGGAGGCTTGATGTGGTGCAGAAAAAACGGCAAACTGATCAGTGTGCTAAACGACTACGATCTATCCTCGTTGGTGGATGTAGTGGGTCCTCGGGGCAACGGGCGTACAGGCACGGTACTGTTCATGGCGCTCGATCTTCTCAGTACAGATGCTCAACAAGGCGAAGTCAAACACCTATATCGCCATGATCTGGAGTCTTGTATGTGGGTTTTCGCCTGGGTTGTCTTGCGTTACAGGCAGGGTGTCCTTCTACCATGGAAATCGCGCCCTTTCGAGGTCAGATTACTGTTGAGGGTCGGGTAAATTTTGCTAGACCAGTACTTACCTATTTATTTTTAGGCCCTGGTCTAACACGACCCCAGTGATGTGTTACCTGTAAATTATAAATTATAGACCCCGGCAACATCCGGAGCTGGTCTCCTTTGTATTCCGTTAATTAAAAACGCCCTGCTTATATATTCCTTGCCTTCCAGCCACCGCGCGCGTCGTCCTCCCCATTTATGTCATTCCTCCATGTCGCCGACTTGTCTTGTTTGAGAAAGTTGACGAGTTGAATTAGTATATCCTCGCACTCAATCTTTGTTTCTCCCGGTCAAGAAAAGATTGATAAGTTACGTCACATGTTGCCAACTCATCTCGTTGAGAAAATTGACGAGTTACGTAGATTAGTATATCCTCCTCGCACTCGGATTCAAATCCATGTTTCCCCTATAAAGATAATTCGTGCATACTGTATCTTTTCCTATTGCTACTCAAGAATTCCCCAATGCTCCACTTAGGCTGCTGTATGTGCTAATACAAACGCATGTCTGACTTCTAGGTTATTTTCTCGTTGTTGGATATCCCGAGATGTGATGGTCGACGATACCGGCACCTGACGTCAACGCATATGTTAGGGTGCTGTATGTCAACAACGGCAAATTTTCATCTTCCGTGTTCGACCGAGCAAACACGCTGTTCGCATCCCGCATTCGAGTCTATCGGACCCTGCACTTCCTCACTCGTACCTACAGTCTTTAGACCTACTCACCATCAGAGAATTCGTGAGTCTACCCAGGGTGCTTTACGTTGAATGCGATGGTTTTCCGACGTTATACATGGCTTTATATGACTTTATAAAGAAAACCTTTCCTACATCTAAGTGTTGAACTGCTCGAAAAGCAGCTTTTCGAGCGACGCTTTAGGTATAGGTCAGGGAGTGCCTCTCGTACTCGCTGAATTTGGTGGTATAATGCCGTTGTGTTGAAAGCGAACATTTTTTGCAATAACGGAGATGCCGATTGTTCGTTTATCGAGCGCGTAGATGCTGATATGATATGATATTGTATGATAGTACCATATGATAACAACTACAGATTATAATACAGAGATATCAATATCATCAAGCCCTCCAATCAAGCAACCTCTATGGAGCATTTGTGTGCGCAAGTTCACCCATCTATCCCATAACTGTGGCGTCTCCCTAATCGTCATTGAGATGAAACCCATAAATTTGTCGTACCAAGACTTGAAAGTTGCCGCTGCAAAGTTGATGGAGTGGCAGGATCCAGGTGTGAATTCTTGAAGACAACAAAGGACAGTGCAAGCACCCATGGCCATAAGGTTATTGAACGAGTCCATCCCTTTAAGTAGGATGAATTGTGCATAACCCATGAGGAAAGTCGCATTGAGGACTACATTAATAATGGCCTTGTGTTCGAATGGGTTGTTAAGAACCATGCTCAAGGGAGAGAGAGACTGACTCAGAGGGGCTTGGCCTCAGCTTGTACACTGTGCCCCTTACCCAAGTATGTGCCCTTCATTTCAGAGGAAGTCTGATGATGGTCTGACAAAGTCCAGAGGACTTTCAGAGACTGGCTACTCTGGTGGAGAGTGCAGGAGGACTTCTGGAGGAGCGCAGGAGAGTTCCAGAGGAATGCAGGAAGTGCTTGGGAGAGTTCCCACTGCAAGGTAATACTTCTACAGGAAAACAGGATGGAAGGGTAGGAGGTCTGGAGGACAGGAGGACAAGATGTCCGGAGGTCGGGAGTATGGAGGACAGGAGGTCTGGAGGTATGGAGGACGGAATGTCTGAAGGTATGGAGGGCAGAACGTCCAAAGGACAGGATGCCCAGAGGTATGAGGGACAGGATGTCCAGAGGTACAGGAGACAGGAGGTCCGGAGGTCCAGAAGGAATAGGGGCTACATCGGATGAAGTCCAATGTAGAAGCAAGCAGAGGTAGACTACCCTAAGGTAGAGTCAGAGGGACAGGAAGTGGACCTAAGTCCAGAAAGAGGGTAAGTGCCGGAAAGGCAAGATTCTAGCCTAGGGAAGCAATCCCTAGACTTGGGACAGAGACATAGGGGACAAATCTGAAGGTCTGGAATTCTGGCCTAGGGAGTCCATCCCTAGGCCTTATGGAAAAGGACAAGCTCAGATGGGCTGAAGTCTGGAAGAAGATTGGGCAAGTCTAAGGTGATATTCAGACTGAGGACTCTACTGTAGTTGTACAGGGGTTATATACTAGAGGCTATCTGAGAGGATCAGTAAGCAAAGGAGTAAGGCTATGTATGAGCATGCAGAAACACATTGGTAAGTAAGACGGAACATAAGTAAATGAACTCGGAGATGAAACTAGTACAAGGTGTTACAGTTCTTATTCTTTTCTTTCACCTTTTCACTTATTCACGCTTACTTATCATTCTCAGACATTCTATTACATTCTATCGTACGATTCTCTTTTCTTTTTGTGATTTGCTATTCATTTTCCATCTCCGATTCATTTATTAAAGCTCCGCTTTAATCTCCTTATATATACTCTATCTCTTATGCTTGTACTTCTTTAACTTGACCTACGCAGACCAGGGCCTGCAATATACTGCTTAACTCGCACGACTCGTACATAGGTGTACGCTTTAGACTCTTTGTGACTGTTTAGTCGTTCTTACGAACGCTGAGCGTAACAAAAGGTCAAGTTACTTCTTTACTGCGCGGTTCCCTAGAACTCGCGCCCAGAACCAGACACCATACCACCGATCGCCCCAACACCTCCCAGTTTTACCTGGGACGAAGAAGAACAAGAGTTCTTCCAGATAGACACCAAGGGCACCAGATACTCAATCGACCAGTGGGCTGCCTACTACGCCAGCATCGCCCCAAAGAACAAAGTTTGGAACTTCCACACCCAAACCTACGAATGATCCCTTACAGCAGAAATGCCTAAAGAAATCGGAAAGACCCTGGCACCCTTCAATGGCGACACCCGCCTTGCTCAGGGATGGACACTTCAAGTAGAAGCGTACCTAGATATGAACGATGAAGTTTACGACAATGACAAGAAGAAAGTCATTTTCACACTCAGCCTTATGACTAAAGGCGAGGCAGCTAAATGGGCCGAAGGCCAACTCAAGGCTGCGGCCACGAGCAAGAACTATGGGACGTGGTTGGACTTCGCTAAGCAGTTTAAATCCACCTTCTTCCCTAAGAACGTTGAACAGACCACGATCCGTCGCATCTCCTCTCTTCGACAGACTGGTAGCATAGCTGCTTACGCATCCCTATTCCGAACCATCCTCGCCAATACTGTTACAGTAATGGTTGCCCCTATCACTTTTTCTCTTATCTGTGTATTACGTCATGACCACACCAGACTGTGCCATCACTAGACTAGCTTCTTTCCATATCTGTGTATCACAGCACGATTGCCTCGCGCCGTTGCTAGCTGACTCATCCCTTATCTCTGACTCGTCTCAATGACGTCATCCCTTATCTCTGACTCGTCTCGATGACGCCATTCCTTATCTCTGACTCGTCTTGATGACGAATATGTACCGGCCCTAAAGTAGGCCATACCTATATAAACCGGGTCCTGTACTTAGATAGACTTCACTTTAATCTACTAGGTTTTACCCAGAACATCCTTTGCTTAGGACCCCTAATCCTAAGCATCTGATATCGATATTCAGGTCGGAGACACTCTCTCTAACTTGTCTTAAAGACCCTTACATTTGTGAGGTTACGATCCGGCTTTAGACGTCACTCTTATCGAGTGTCTATTGTCGAGCCTATCCTAGTTGACCTACAGTTCACCGTAACAAAAGATTAAAGTCCTACTCCTACGACCCTCCTCATCAAGGAGGTTACAGAAACAAGAAGAAGAAGAACTCAGTGAGAGAACGAGTAACATTCCCCTGAAACCGAAACATCACTCGACGAGAATGTCAGGATGTCTACAACAACCGCCACTTCCCCAGAACTGAAAGCCGGAGCCCCATCAACCTATGATGGAAGTCCCTCCCAAGCTCTCTGATGGTTGTACGCAGTTAAGGCGTATTTCGCGCTTAACGCTACAATCTATAACACCGACGAAAAGAAGGTCATCACCACCCTCGCTTATATGACAGAAGGAAGCGCTATGGGTTGGGCGCTGACTTTCTACACCGAAGTCGACAACTCCGTCACCAAGACCTACGGGACCTTCACGAACTTTGAAACCAAGTTCAAAGAGGCCTTCGTACCGGCTGATGCCACTGGAACTGCCATGAACAAGCTCCGAACGTTGAGACAGACAGGCGACCTCACGTCTTACATCGCCAGTTTCAAGACACTTGCTGCACAAGCTTCTGTGAAACAGGACGCTGTCCTTATCACGTTCTTCAATGATGGGTTGAAGAAAGGGATTGTTAACTCCATCTATCAGATGGAAACCATTCCAGTAGATTTCGACAAATATGTCGCCGCCGTTATTCGGCTGGATAGTAACTACCAAAGAGGGGTTGCATATCGATCAAACCATCGAACAACCACCAGACCGTCAGGACAACGCTACGTCCCCAGACCCTCCGTTGACCGACATGATCCAAATGCTATGGAGGTAGACCGACTCACTGAAGTCGAGAGAAATGACCATATGAAGAAAGGGCTCTGCTTTACGTGCCATCAGAAGGGGCATATGACCAAAGCGTGTCCCCAGAAGAAGAAGATTCCTGTTCGCAGAGAAGAAATGAGCGACAGTGAAGAAGAAGATACAACGATCCATCGCCTCGCCGAGGATTTTTGATGTGGAAGACTGGGTCGACGTCAGTATCTTCCGAAGTACCCATCAGACTTGTACAAAGTATTGGAATTAGAAAAGAACTCCGTGTTCCCATTACTCTTGTTTCCAACACTCGTCTGAAAACCGTCAAAACAACAGCTGTTGTAGACTCCGGC